ATCATTAACCATTAAAGAGATGAAAATCAAAACAATCATGAGATACCACCTCACCCCAGAGTAAATAGAAAAGTTTAGCAAGACAGAAAATAACAAATTCCGCTGAGGATGTGGAGAGATTGGGACTCTCATACACTGCTGGTGGGACTGTAAAATTATAAAATGTTAACAATCATTATGGAAATCGGTATGGCAGTTCCTTAAAAAGTTGGAATTAGAAATACCATTTGATCTATCAGTCCCATTACTAGGTATATATCTTAAAGAAATGAGTCAGGGCACAGATAGATATATGCACACCCATGTTCATCAGAGCACTATTCACCATAGCAAAGAGATGGAAACAACCTAAGTGCCCATCAACTGAGGAACGGATAAACAAACTGTGGTACATTCACACAATGGAATACTATCTAATCTTCAAGAATAAATGTAGAATCTGCAAAACACCTCATAATGTGAATGAATTTGGAGGACATTATGGTGAGTGAAATAAGTCAGTCACAGAAGGACAAGTATTGTATTAGTCCACTATTGTATAAAGTCAAGGAAAGGATTATACATGGAAGGAAACTATTTGTTGGTTACCAAGGATGAGAGGGGAGGGGAGGAAAAATTCCTAAATGGGTTGGGGAGGATAATAATAATAATTACATGTATACACACACACACACACACACACACATATATCGTGGTGGTTACATTTGTGTGTCAACTTGGCTGGGCCTGGTTGAGTGGCTGGGTAGCTGAATGTATTTATTCCCTATGGTGAGATTGGTAATTAACTCCATGGTGGAATCTATTACAGCAACTGAGTAGCCATTTTGGGTATGTGGTGTTCTTCCCATATATAAGAAACATCTTTGGGAATGGTCTCTAGCCCATGGCACTCTTGAACCCTACATGTAGCCATGTTCTTGTTCAGCAGCTTGCCTTGCTCTGCCGACCTTGGGACTTTCAAGAGGCTTGAATTAATGGTCTTCTGTGTGGTTTTGTATCATCGGGACTGTGCCTTTTTACTTCTCAACCTTGGGTTTGTTAGCCTCAGCAGCCAGTAGCTGCCTGAGCAAAGAGATGCCTCTAGCTTCAGTGAGTGGGCCAGGAGCAGGAGACAGAGCTGCAACCCAAGGTTGAGGGGCTTTCACCCAGCCCCTAGGGCCTGGCACTTGAACTTGAATTTAAAGCCACTAAATTGTAAGAATAAACTCCTATTTTTAAAGCCATCCCATTTGTGGTATATTCTTATCAGAGTGGCACTAGGTAACCAGAGCACACACATACACACACACGTGTGTGTATGTGTGTGTGTGTATTTTTTTTTTTTTTTTTTTGACCGCTAACCAGAAGGCTGGCAGTTCAAACCCACCAGCTACTCCTCAGAAAGAATATGAGGCAATCTACTTCCATAGTGATACTGCCTCAGAAACCCAAGGAGGGGTCACTATGAGTCGGGTCCGACTCTATGGCACATAACAACAACAACAACAAGGCTGGCAGTACAAACCCACAAGCCAGTCCTTGGAAAGAATATGGGGAAATCTGCTTCCGTAGTGATACTGCCTTGGAAACCCAAGGAGGGGTTGTTATGAGTCGAATCGACTCAACAGCAGTGAGTTTTATATGTGTGTGTGTATATATATATATACATGTATATATGCATCTATGTACACATATGTATAAATCAGAGATTATTAGTGGTTGCAAGAAGTAGAACAGAGTTGGGGGATGGAAAAGCTTTTGTTTTCAGGGCATTGAGTTTATGCTAAAATATTTTGGAAAAGGATAGCAATAATGGTGGCACAAGATGAAAAGTATCATTAATGTCCCTGAGCTGCAAATGTGGAAATTATTGTGGTGGCTAATGTCTTGTTCTGTATGTTTTCACCATAATAAAAGTAAAAAAAAAAAAAAAACCTAACTCTATTAAGAAAATTATTACTTCATTACTGTGACATATGAAAAAAAATCTATAGCAGCTTTTACCAAAATTAGTATTATGATCAATTATTTAAGACTTTCTCCCCCACTGCATAATAAATCTTTCATAGAGAGACCTGATTTCTTATGCTCTTTTAACTGTTTTTTGCCATATAAAAACCTAAAATAATGCTTGATTTTTAAAAAAGAAGTGTTTATTTCCTTGTTATACAACTTTGTGTGTATACTATTTAATATATTGCATGTAATTAAAACATTCTGTATAATTATTCAGTAGGGAAAATATCCCCAAAGCTTCCATACCTTCCAATTTCACTCCCCTGATATACAGCATCACCCTCTGTCTTCCTACTGAAAGCTCCAGAGGATAAAAGGAATTTCTTATGAATTCATGGGCTTTATGCCAACTTTGGTTCTTTGGGGTTCTGTATAAATTTTCCCATTTTGTAGACATTGTGAGCCATCCTCACTCCTTATGCCACTAAGGAAACACATCAGTTTCTAAGAAACACATCAGTGCTTTTTTGCTTAATTCAACCTCATTCTGTTTTAAGGACTTCATAATGTGTCATTTTGACATGTATTTTACAGAATATAGCATTTTACCAACACTGACCTGAAGATTTCCAATATTATCAGGGCTTCAGAATGCTTTGGCTACTCTCCTACTTTTAAATATTATAAGTACTCAATTAATTAATGTTATCAATAATTGAAGTAAAACATTGTCCATTAAATAACTTGTCCCTACTCCATAAAAGAAAATGACTCTACTATCTCACCACCAGTAAGTCATATTCTTTTGTTTGTATGTTTTTCATGGAATTGAGGAAAAATTGAGAATCACAGATTTTCTTATAATTCCAATTAAGATTGATGAGCTCTGATACATTTAAATGATTTGATTTTCTATTATTGTGGTCTTCGGTGCTTAATAGTTTGCCCAAATCCAAGAAGGAGCTCTGGTGGCACAACAGGTAAGTGCTTAGCTGCTGACTGAAAGGTCAGTGGTCCCAGCCCACCAGCCATTACATGGGAGAAAAGACCTTACAATCTGCTTCCATGAGGATTACAGCCTAGCAAATCCTATGGGGCAGCTCTACTCTCTCCTATAAGTTCACTGTGAATTGGAATTAGCTTGATGGCATACAACAACACAACTACATTTAAGGGTATATTTGTTACTATAATTAGCTTGCACAAAATTTGATCCTGAGACTTTTCTCTAACTCTTATTATATCAATTTTCTTTGTTGTTAATATCACAGTACTTGGAGTTTCATTTTGAATAGTGAGTTTTTATTGTGACAGGTTTGATAAATCTCTATGGATAAGTGAGCCCCTTCCATTACTGAGAATGTTATCTTTTTATAAAGAATCTGGAGATCTTTCCTGCAATTCCAATGTCTGCACTGGACAACTCTGGAACTTCAGGTAAGCCATAAAACATTTCTAGCCATAAAATAAAGCATCATGTAAGTTTCTCTTTTATGAAAAATTCTATTGAAATATTTATTACCTCACTAGTGACCATATAAACAAATAAATGCAAACGCACTGCTGTTGAGCTTGATCCGACTTACAGAAAACCCTACTTGAATTTCCGAGGTGGTGTCACTATGGAAGTAGATTGCCCAACTTTTCTTCTGAGGAGTGGCTGGTAGGTTTGAACCGCTGGCCTTCTGGTTAACAGTCAAATGCCTTAAGCACTATGCCACCAGAGCTCCTAGTGACCATATAGTTTCTATCTATTGGAAACATTTAGCGTAGTGCCTAAGGCACTTGACTGCTAACCAGAAGGCCGATGGTTCAAACTCAACAGCCACTCCTCAGAAGGAAGGTTGGGCAATCTACTTCCATAGCGATACTGCCTCGGAAACCCAAGGAGGGGTCATTATGAGTCAGGGCCGACTTGACGGCACATAACAACAACACTGTGTCTTCTGCACATCAGCAGATATGATTCAATAAAATTCTGTTCTTCTGCAGAGGGTGCTCTGACACCCACAGTTCTCAGTTTAGCCTTTTTCTTTTTTCCTATGCCCTCATTTCTTCATCTGTGATGAGTCTATGTATGGGCAAGCATTCTGACTAGCCATGATTCAGGAGCTCATAACTACCACAATTCACCTGTTCTCTTTACACTGACGTTAAGAAATCACTCATGTTTTAAATCATTCATGATTGTCTCTCTGATTTGGAGGGGATTGGAATGAATCTCCTTCATGCTTTCTGTCAGTATATCAGTGCTGCCCTTGTCAACTATGTGCAAATCAAATAACTCTCTCAGAATTCTGTTTCAGTAAAGTTCATATGAATACAGTAATTCCATGTGTGAATTCTGGAACATCTGTGATGCTTTCTTAGCCTCATGCCAATATATGCAAAATGGAAATTCTACATGTACTCTGAAACTCTGTGAATATGCATGTATATTCATAATTGTTTCTTTTGATTCACTTACATTTATAGATATAATTAAGCTCTACTCCCTGGGAATTTTAAAGGGCTGACTGTTAATAGCATAAGTGAACCTTCCTAAGGCCTGGAAGACCTGTATTATAATAAATTTATTTTTCTTTTTTAAAATTTGGGGAAGAATAAGTAATTGTTTTTGTAAAGAGTACTTCAGAGATTTTCAGGAGCATCTGAAGTTGATTGAGATTGTCTCTTTTTCACATAGGGGCTTCTGGGTTCACACATCTGTCCCTTCTGGGTCATATTTTGTTATTCCACCTCTAACTGAATACTCATCACTAACCAATAAGTTGGCTTCATATTGGAATGTTAAGTAATATTTCAACTAAAAAAATCAATGCCAAAATTTTGCATGAATATCCATTTTTTGCCCATGCAATCAGTATTTTCAAATCTTTTTACAAACATTCTAAACTGGCCTTTAAAAGACTAATGCAATCCCAGAGCAGTTGATGACACTTTCTACAGCAATAAATAAGTATTTTTATCTTGCTAAAATATAATCACTGCATTTTTCGTATCCTCTATGCCTCTGCCTCATCCATCCACAGGTAGTCACATTGCTCCATTCTCAACTGTGTAGGATGATAAGAATGAGCAATTTTACTTATCCAGAAGTCTTCATCCTCCTTGGCTTCTCTGCAAGACCCTTCTTGGAACCTGTCCTTTTCATGCTTGTCTCAATTTTTTATGTGGTGTCTGTTGTGGGGAATAGCATCATTATTCTGGTCTCATGCATGGATGTGCGTCTCCACACTCCCATGTACTTCTTTCTCACTAACCTCTCCTTCCTGGACATTAGTTTCACTATGAGTATTGTTCCACAACTCCTGGTCAACCTGTGGGGACCACAGAAAACAATAAGCTATGGAGGGTGTATGGTTCAATTCTATATCTCCCATTGGCTGGGGGCAACAGAGTGTGTTTTGCTGGCAGTTATGTCTTATGATCGTTACGTTGCCATCTGTAGGCCACTCCACTATGCTGTTACCATGCAACCACAGCTTTGCATGGGTCTGGCCTTAACTTCATGGCTTGGAGGTCTGATCATTAGCGTGGTGGGCTCCACACTCACTATGCTGCTACCCCTGTGTGGGAACAATCATATCGACCATTTCTTTTGTGAGATGCCCCTCATTATGCAGCTAGCTTGTGTGGACACCAGTCTCAATGAGATGGAGATGTATCTGGCCAGTTTTATTGTTGTTGTCTTGCCTCTGGGTCTCATCCTTGTCTCATATGGCTACATTGCTCAAGCTGTGTTGAAGATCAGGTCAGCAAAAGGGCGAAGGAAGGCATTCAACACCTGTTCTTCTCACATGGCAGTCGTATCCCTGTTTTATGGGAGCATCATCTTCATGTACCTCCAGCCAGCCAAAAGCAACTCTCATGAGCAAGGAAAATTTATAGCTCTCTTCTACACCATAGTAACCCCAATGCTGAGCCCATTGATTTATACACTGAGGAACAAGGATGTAAAGAAAGCCCTTAGTAATATTTTGTTAGAGAACTGCTGTGGTTTTGCAAGAAAATGAAGGTATATTTAGAGGCTCTAGTCTTGTTTAAAGAGAAAGAAGGAGTTTAAAAATTCTAAAGTTAATTTTTGAAGGCAGGATATTTGAGATGTCAGTTCTGTTCTAATAAGTGCTTGACTTCAACGTAGACAGCACTGTGAAATTGAATGTGTTCATATCCAGCTTTAGAGCAAAGATGATATGTGTGCATATATATATAAATATATATAT